TCCATATATATTCAAACAAATGGTTTGGTTGAAATGTAATATATAATAAATGTTGTTTTAAGTATCTCTGAACACCGGAACACAAACGTTGCGATTTCACAGTTCGGAATTTAGTGGCACGAAGACTGATATTGAAAGTAGCGGCAATCCGTCAAAGGACACGACTGCGGTATAACGGTTATAAGAGAGCCTTCACAATGAATGTGATCGAAAAACAAGGTGCGAAGATGAATTCGAATTTGACTAGCACCGGCATTTACGGCTATGTAGGCAGAATCACAATACCTTTGGAGCTGAAGGCTTACCTTGCCGAGAATAGGAAGCGTAAGATATTTTTGCGGACACCTCGTGAATCTATATGAAATTGCCTTTCGACCGAGCTAAAGAAATTCAAAATTTTCTTTCCATAACTGTATTTGATAATTTTTCGAAATTTAATATGTCAGCGCTGCCCAAAAACTAGAAACTGTCGTCCATATTATGCCACATGTTGTTTTAAGTATCCAACCTTTAAAATATTCATTAAAAATAGTTCTCGAAAGAAAGTTTCCAATTTGTTTAGCTCATTCAAAAGATTTCTTCATATAGATACACATGATGTACATAAGGTTTTTTCGGTTTCGCTACGCGAAATTCTCGAAATTGACTGTTTTGTGCTAACAAAACAAATGTCAAAAATTTGTTAAAATATTTTTGAAAAGATATAAGATAAGAATTTCTTTAGCTCGTTCAAACATACTTAAAAGAGCTCTATCATGGCGTTTACAGAGCTCTTTGAACGGCGGTGGTAAAAGTCTTTGCTAGTTAAATTCGAATTTATCTTCATCCCGTTGTCGAATAAATAGACAAATATTGTCCACATTTCACGCCGTATATTTACGGACCAAAGTAATATTCTTAATCAATATGATCACAAAACATTAAGAACTAAACACCTTTTTCCATATCATGTACGTAGCTTATATGAATAGTTTTATATGAATGATTATTTGAAACTGGATTCAAAAAGCACCCTCGTCCCATCTATTTGCGGCAATTTTAAAAATGCTCCACATGAGCTGTTTAAAAGATGTTTTCAATAGAATTTATTTTTGCATTTAGTCTTTCGGATTTATGAATCTTCAAAATTTTGAAAATGTTGCCCTGTACGTTGAACACTTACACCTATGTATGAACATTAGAGAAACACACATGCTGAAATCGATTCAGAAATTGGTATTCTGAATCAATTAATATAATGAAAAATTTGTCAAGTCGTTCTCGGTAACGCATATGTCCATTCGAACTTCATACACTGTCAGTAGCTGTCGTAATTGCCGTCATAAAAGATGCTATTCTACTTATTCTCTACTTTATAAAACAATAAGAGAATATTTCATGCAGCTCTGCTATACAATGCTGCGCTTGTCATAAACAAAATAATGGAATTTGTCTCAAAACATTTTTTTCACATGATAAATAAATAGCATATTAAGTTTCTTCCATGCTTTCGTTATCGCACCTTTAAAGAACATTTTTAATTGGCTTCATTGAAATCGAATTGATCGTAAAGAAGTTATTTCCACCTGCTTAAAATTTTATTCTTTTCCTTCACAATTCCTTTCCTACACAATAACCGCCGTATAAAGCGAATCCCGAAATACGCTTCAGTTTCTACAATGACCTTGCAATTTAATGCAAACTTTTCCTTTGGAGCCTCCTCTTGACGTTGTGGAAAATGATGTGAATGCAGGCGGTTATAATCACTGACACTTTGACACTTTTGTTGCATACCAGGGAACGTGGTATACCAAATTTCATGCAAAATTATGAAGAGACTGCCTTTTGATATCTTTAGGATGACGGCTATCTGTTGCAACTTCTCTTTTCGAGTCAAAAGGTTGTATGTATTGCCTGATGTTTTGTCGGGCGTCAATAGCGCTTAACATTATCAGTGCCCATTCGACCCCGTTTCGAACCAACAAGCCATTGATAACTTGACGTTTTCTATAGAAATGGAAAGCAGAGTGCAAAAGTAGTACTTAACCAAAGCACAGACTTGGATTTTTTCCATTTTGAAAATAACAAGGGCAGCGTCATTAAAGTCAGCAAAACTAGGACACAAATCAAAGAGATGACTTTGACAAGCGCCATTTAAGGTCTCATGCTTTTTAGGAATAATTCATGCTTTTCGTCAGAAACATTTATAACGTAGTCCCGGGAATTATTGATCGAATTAATATACACAATACACATTTACATAACGAAGAACGCTAGACTATGTGGCAACAGGAATGGAATGCATTACTTCGTAACCTTCAGAAAAAACGTAACCAATTAAATATTCCCAGAAAATCATTTCTATTGCGTATAATAAAATTAATAATTTTTACATCAAATTTACCTCAAATATTTTCGAATGAAATCATACTTCAAATAAGTTGAGGACATAAGAGAAATCATTCATGAAACCACATATTTGGGTGCATGTGAAAGTATCACATATGCTTTAAAATCGATATATATATATATATATATATATGTATATATATAAATTATATATTAATAAACAGGGTATAACAATGGTGGTTGGGTTTGCATTGATTTATATTAATCTAATATAAACACGTTTGTAAGAAAATGGCCTGTTGTGCATTAAGTAAATACCAAAGAAGGGTGTGAAGATAAATTCGAATTTAACTGGTAAAGACACCTACCATTTCTGTTAACATACCTCTGTTAACCACTTAACAGAGCTCATGTTAAATAATT